TCCTGGAATGTACTCTTGTGCTTCTGCCAGATATGCTCAAATCTCTAGCTGACTTCTATTTTGAGGTTGGATCTGGATGCTACCCACATTTTCAAAATTCTATTTGCCTTCTACAACATACCTGAGCCTACTAAAAGTGTTTCTTTACCTTTAAGAATGGCCCACCTTTTCTAGGGCTTTGTTAATAGCAGAGGCTACTCTAGGTAGGTTTATTCTGATTGCTTGAGCTGAAAGAAAAACACCCATCAACTGAATTTTTAATGTCCTTTTTCTTCTCTCTGAAGGCTCTGACCCCTTGAACCCGAGTTTCCTTATGTCCTTAATTCTTATTTGAATTCATTTTCCCCTTGAATATGAGTATAGGAAAAACTTGATGGTACATTCTGAGCTGGCTGTTTAAACAACTGATTATACATTTAACCCCTGTGTGGTTTTTTAAAAAGATTGAGTTTCATTGAAGCTTCTAGTGATCTTAAGGCCATAAGTATTTTGGGTTAACACATTGTCTTTAGAACTCTGAGTGTCAGGATGGCCTATTTTTAATTTCTCAATGGCATCCTTAATATGTTTAAGTATACTTTTTAATGACAGAATTAATGTTTTATCAGATTTACAATGGATGTTGTAGGTTTCATTATTTTAGGAAAATATTCTTGTGATTGTTTTAGAATTACTGTTATTTTTCCAATATCTGTTCAGCATAAAGAAGATAGAAAGTGAAAGTCATACATGCTAAAGCTAACGCAAAAGAGATGTAAATCTGAAAAACTAACAAAAGTGTTGACTTACTGATGTCATCTAGACTGAGAGGGAAGTAAAATTACATGTTCGATAGTATGAGAACTACCTATTATAAGGTATGATTTTGTGAAGCTGTGGTGAAAATTTTAGCATAATTACAGAAAAGATAATTTTATACATGGAAATTTTCTGGAGGTAGGGGAGAAAAATAGGTAATTTCATTCTGCCATTCATTTAGAGCAAGGGTAATTGGAAATACCAAATACTGTTAGTGTAAATTCTTTGCTATACCGAGACTTTAAGCTTTAAAATGACTAAGTCACTTTGGGGCTGGTTAAAAATACAAATCCTTGAGTTCCATCCTTTTTGGCTCTGAATTTTTAATAAACTTCTCAGAAGATTGCAAGATACATTGTATCAGGGCTTTGCAAAGAAACAAATGCATTAAGAGACTGTGTGTTTTTTTTTAATCAAGAGAGTATTATAGGGAGTAGACTTAAATGATTACATAACTCCCCAAATCTGTAGTCATCCATCTAGAAACCTAGGAGATCCTAGTGCCATTCCAAATCTGAATCTGAAGGCAGGACAACAGTAACCTGACTAGAAGATAGTAAGCCAGACAGTCCAATCTCTTACTCTGAGCTTCGTTCTATTCAGACCTTCACTAGATTGATGAAGCCTATTCATATTGAGGAGGGCAGTCTGCTATATTTAGTCTACTGATACAGTTGTTAGTCTCACCCACAGACATTGTCATAGACATAGCAACACAATGTTTATACAAATATCTGGATACCCTATAGTATAGTCAAGTTGACATGTAAAATTACCATGATATACAGCAAAGTTAAGGGCCACTCAGGTAAAAATGTTTCCACCTTCCCCTTTTCTAATAAAGATTATAGAGCTGGTTATGTTGGTGCAAACCAATAGTCTCAGCTATTTGGAAACATGAGATTTGACAATCTTTGAGTCCAGAGTTTGAGACTAGCCTGGGCATATAGTGAGACCTTGTCTCAAGAGAGAGAGAAAGGGAAAAGATTTTGTAACACATATAGCAAACACACCAACCATGTATAGCTACTAGGATAATGCTGTTTTAAAAGAAATCAATATATTTAAAATAAAAGTATATCTTTAGTATAAAATAAAATGAAGTAGTATGATAGAATGTATAGTTATTTAAGTTTTCCATTTATTTCCACTAAGTACCAAGGATTGTTGTAGGTGCAGATCTTACAGACTCATGTTTGAATGGATCAGCCTAAATAAGATGGTCAGCTCTTACAGTTTTCCTGGGCTAAGGGCTTTTAAAGGGAATTGAACTTTTGGTTCCAAGACTAAAGCTATCCAAAACAGACAAAATGGTGGTTTAGTCTAGTAGAAGGATTAGTTTGAAGATAGCAAGCTAGTAGTATGCATGTCACATAATTAGGTAGTGATTTTTAATATTATGGAGAAAAATCAAAGAGTAAGACACAGAGAGTAACTAGCTGAATTATGTGGTGGTATTTTTAGGAAATACCAACGAAGCAGAGACAGGAATGAAATTAAGAAGTGAATCATGTGGCCTACTTAGGGGCCTATTTGTAGAAAACGGTAGAGCAAATATAAAGACTCTGAGACAGAGACAAATGTGACATGTTTGAGGAAGATTAACACTCTTTGGATAGAGAAAATAAGAGAAATGGAAGGGAAGGAAAGAAGTTGAGGTTTGACTGTGGTAAAATTGTCAAGAGCTTTGTTAGCCATGATAAAGAGTTTGGATTGTAAGTGTGATTTAAAAAAAAATGTACTCTAAACATGTACTAAAACAAAAATTAGCTCTGAACAGAAGAATATTAGTTAGAGCCTGTGGCCATTATGTGAAGAATAAAGACAGGAAGTTGGGTGTGGGGGTGCACACCCCTTCAATCCCAGCACTCAGGAGGCTGAGGCATAAAGGATCATCATGAATTCAAGGTCAGCCTGGGTTACATAGTAAGGTCCGATTGAGCTACATAGTGAGACCCTGTGGGATGGAACAGAACAGAAAAGAACAGAACAGAACATAAATAGAGCAATAAGGATGGAATGAGTGATACCACTTAGGGTGTTTCCATTGTTCAGGTAGGAGAAGGTACTAGTAGTGGACCAAGTTGGTATTGGTGGTGGAAGTAGCCAGGTTTAAGATACATTTGGAAGAATTAACATTTTCTAGTTTACAGGATAGAATTTGAAAGAAAAATGTTCTGGTTCAAATTTCTTCATGATGTTCTTCCTGAAAGTGGGGAGTCCCAGGGAAGAGTAGGCTTGTTTAAAATATAAGAATTTGATCTTTGAACATATTATGATTGAAGTGCCTATAGACATCCAAAGGTAGAGACATTTGAATAGAAGTTTGAAGTGAAGCACAAAAGTCTAGGCTGCAGGTAGGAATTTGAGAGCTATTAATACATAATATTTAGTGCCATGAAATTAGATTAGGCTAGTTAGGCAGTGAAATAAAACAGATAAGAGAATCAAAACGAGAACTGAGATAGGAGGAGCATTCAACAGAGTGACTAAAGAAGAAAATCCTAGATAAGTGAGTGAATTGTTTCAAGAGAAATCATCTGTGTTAGATGCTTTTGAAAGGCTGGGGTGAGAACATAAACCATTGGTGGCAAACCTTTTAGAACTTTCAATGGTAACAGCCCACTGTAGCATGTATGCCGTAGGTTCACCACCATTGACCGAAACTGATGACTGACTTTGATGGATGGTAACAACTGAATGTAAGAATCAAAGATAAGAGAATCAAAACGAGAACTGAGATAGGAGGAGCATTCAACAGAGTGACTAAAGAAGAAAATCCAGAAGAATGTGGTTCTCCTAGATAAGTGAGTGAATTGTTTCAAGAGAAATCATCTGTGTTAGATGCTTTTGAAAGGCTGGGGTGAGAACATAAACCATTGGTGGCAAACCTTTTAGAACTTTCAATGGTAACAGCCCACTGTAGCATGTATGCCGTAGGTTCACCACCATTGACCGAAACTGATGACTGACTTTGATGGATGGTAACAACTGAATGTAAGAATCAAAAGCCTGATTAGGGGGATCAAATATATAGCATTTTCTGAGGGCTGCTTTAACAGTACCATAAACCAAGTGGCTTAAACAGAAATTTATTTTCTTACAGTTGTGGAGTTGGTAGGGACATACTCCTTCTGAAGTTTATGTGAAGTGTGTGTTTCTGGCTTTCTCATACCTTTTTATACATCTTTTTAAAACTATCTTTGTCATTCATTTCCTATAGCAGCATAACTCTTTGCATGTGGCATTTTCCCTATATATGTGTCTATGTTCCAGCTGTGCTTTTCTGTAAGGAGAGCTGTCATGTTGGATTGGGGATTGTATTGGATTGTATTACAATGTGTATGTATAATATGTATGTATGTATAATTTGTATAATTGTATTATAATATGACTTCATCCTAATTTAACTATTTACATCTGTAACAGCCCTGTCTCCAAATATGGTCCAGTTTTGCTGCACTTATGAATTTTGGGAGGTTGTCATTCTGTGCTGTATCCATATAATGAAATATTATTCAGCATTATAAAAGAACCAAGTACTAATATATTCTGCTCTATGGATAAACCTTGAACATATTATGCTAAGTTTAATAAGACAGACACAAAAGATTACAGTTGTATGTTCTATTTGTGTATTATCTAGAAAACACAAATGCACAGAGACAGAATATTATCAAGGGTTGGAGACAGTGGGAGATAAGAGAAACACTGCAAATGGGCATGGGATTTCTTTCAGGAACAGTTCACAACCTTGTGATGTTTGCTGATGGTTTATTAAAAACACTTGAACTACAATTTTCAAGAATGAATTTTATGATGTATGAATTAACTATCAATAAAAATGTGATATTGTACATATGATACATGTATTTCTCAGACATATACACAGAGCTAGGCACAGATTGAGAAAGAGACAGAGTCAGACACAGACAGAGGGAAGAAATGGAGGTAGCAGATGTCAACTTCTCTTTAGCATATTTTGTATGATAATATACAAAGGCATGAAATGATGGGGCGAATGGGATCAAGGAGATTTTAAAAAACAGAAGTATTGTACTATTTATATGTTGATTTGAAAGCTCCAGTGGAAAGGGAATAAGTGATGATGCAAGGTAAGGCAGAGAAATTTCTAGTAGCAGCCATATTCTGGAGTTCACTGTAACATACAGTGAAAAACTTTCTTCATGTTTCTTCCCTAGGTGACAGACCAGTCAGTGAAAGCATTTGCTGAGCATTGTCCTGAACTTCAGTATGTTGGCTTCATGGGTTGTTCAGTGACTTCTAAAGGAGTCATCCACCTAACCAAGGTAGGTGCTATGGCTACGTCTCCTTGGCATTTCTGAGCATCATTCTGATTAAAGATCCTAACATTTTTTTGTTCTTTCTTTGTTTTGTGTGTATTTTTATTTTTACAGTACTAGGAATCAAATCTAGTACCTTCTTATTGAACTAAAGCCCTGGTCTTTAAAATTTATTTTTCAGAGACTTGTTTTTATTTACTTTTATTTTTATTAGTACCTATTTATATAATCATTACATTTATTTTGGGAAGTTGTTACATGTACATAATTCATCTTAGTTCTTTTAAGTTCTCTTTTCCTTTCCTTCCTTGAAATACTTTGTTTTGAGACAGGATCTTGTGAAATTACTGAGTTGCCTAGACTTGTCTCAAGAGTTGTAATCCTATGGCCTTAGGCCCAACCAGAATTCTGGCATTGCTGGTGTGTACCACCATGCGCAGCACATTGCTTTTTGAGACATCTCACTTTGTTGCCTTGGTTGATTTTGAGCTCATGGGTAGGTTTAAGTGATTCCTCTGCCACAGCTTCTCAGGTAGATGGAACTGTATGTATTTACTATTACACTTTTCTCTTTAAGTATACTCTAATATGGGACAGTTAGACTATTACAGATTTGTGCTAGTGTTTGATAAAGTTAAAGACTGGTTTAAAATAACATCAAACTTACATTTTCTGAAATTCGATAATCATTTAAATAAGAAACTTTTTGCTATTTAATTGCTAGTAATTATGAATATATGCATTAAAGAAATTGATGCATGTGACATGAATCATATAAATACTAATGATGTATTGATTTTAGAAGATACATTGATTTTTAAAAAATTATTTTAAAGGCAATAAAACAAAACAGAATAAATCCAATAAAAACAAAGCAGTGAAATTGGTACAGAACTTCAAAGCAGGATAATAGGAAAACAACAATGGCTACCATAGTATATTTTAATATTGTCACAATAGTTGTCCATTCCATCAGATATAGCAAAATCAAATCAAAACAGAATATTGAATAAAACAAAACAGTTAATTGGAACAAAACAAAACAATGAGAAAAATACTGGATTTCAAAAACAAGATAGAAGGAAATCCTTCATAATTACTATATTGTATAGTGTTATCCTCTCTATAGATGCCCAGACTGCTGATCCCAGGCTTGCAAAGTTAACCAAACAATACAAGCACTTAGTTGCTGTCAACTCAGCCCATCCTCTGAACCACCAGTTGCTTGGTGGGTACCGTGGGGGGTGGGAGTTGGTGATTCTCAACCCACACACTTGTAGGCTCATGGGAGATACTACCTGACTTTTCTCTTCCTGAGCCTCCATGGCTTGTGTGGTTTATCAGAAAGCTGGCTAGTTGACTTGTTCATTGACTCCTTCCAGCCCCAGCCTATTGATTGAATGTTAACTGCTTACGTATCACTAGGTCATATGAGCATTTGGCTTCAAAAAGTAAATATGGTCAATGTGTATGATTATACTGAATATGTAAAGTAAAAAGAGGTTCAGATACATCAAAAATTTACCTGATAGCTCAGTTCACTCATATAGGCTATCTCATATTTTAGCAGTGATGAAATAATACCAAGTTCTTTGTAATCTCTCACTGATGTCTCAGCTCTACTGCTTTCCAGAGCTCTAGTACAACTAAGAACTAATTCTCATATTCATGTAATAGAAAACATATCTTCTATAAACTTATCTGTGTATTGTTTGAAGTTTTTTTTTACTAACAGCCTTTATCTCTATCATATAGAACTTACCAGAATGAATTTGTCTTAGGCATTTGTATTAAAAGCTGAATAAATCTTTTCATTCATACGTCCTTTATTTCATAGTAATTAGAAAACTGCTCTTTGTAGCATGTGCTGAAGCTATCCAGTAAAGATCCCAGCCTCTTTGGGCTTGTTCTCTTCAGATCTCTTCACAGTTTAGGGGGGGAATATTGTCTTCTTGCTTTCCACCTAAAAGGACAAATGTTTGTGAGTTATCTAGGATTATTGTAGGGATATATTGTAGTGAATAGGACTCTGGACTCCATTGCCATTTTGAGGTTGATTCTTGGCTCTGCTACTTACTAATTAACTTGACAAATTATTTTTCTGTGTATTTAATAAGGTAATTATGTAAGGTTCTAGATTCAGTATTAGTGCAACAGTAAGTACTAATGTTCACTAATCTTAATGTAGATTGCATAGTATCTAAATTGCTAGAACAAACAATGCAAACTTTGAATTAAAAAGGTCAAATTACTTTTCTTGTCTATATCTGTGACAGAGAACCTGTGGTTATATTGAGTCTTAAATGAATGATCAGATGTAATTGTATTTTGAGGATTAGAGCATAAAACTAGGCAATAGACATAGACTGTAATTCTCAATTATTACTCTATCAGAACATCTTAGTGTAACCAACATCATATGTAACCTTAATTTTTATTGCTTTTCCTATAACTTCAGCCTGAATCTCTTGATACATGAATTTTTTTCTTGGTAATCTCATCTAATGCTGTTTTTAATATAGAGTAGATATGCTGTTGGATGAACATATTGTGCCCAAAAAATGTTGTAATGACCATATGTGGGATTTTTATCATCATTCAAAATTGTACTCAGTAAGGACAAAACAAGATTTATTAGATCAGTAAGTGCTGCCATGAGCATTTTGAGATGGCCAAAATTTATGGTACACTGACTGGTACTTAAGAGGGAGAATTATTCTCTGTGACAAAATAGCTCTAGCAAATTTCTGTGTTGGAAAGTTCAGTTTGCTAAGAAAGTTCTCAAAATTACAGGCAAGCATTGCTGGTTTGGTCTGTTAACAACTGGATTTATATAATTCTAGTTCATAAAGTTCTGAGGAGCACAATTTTCCTCAACCAAATCTTCGCTTTGATAAAAAGTCTGGTTTGTGGTATAGGATTTTGCCAGAATAGTTTTCTATATTCAAATTAAAGCCATTTACTGTCATTTTAAGCATGTATAGATTTTGCAAAGCTCTTTTATCTCTTGAAAACCATGAGTGTAACTCTTGGTTTTAAGAAAATTAAAGTTTATTGATTTAAAATATTTGCATTTTGGCAGTGTTTTGTCAATTACTAAAATATTCACAAAATATTTGTAATTACATAAATGACCCTAAAACGTTTCCCTTATTATCATCATACTACATCTAGTTTTAAAATAAATTATTTGGAACATGTGAGAGTATTAAGAGAGCTATCATCTAAATATGTTTGGTGTTTTATGTGATTCAGAAAGTCTAACATATATATATGACTTTACTGTCTGTTGATTTCAAAGTTTGCTAAAAGAACCACATTATACAATATTTGTGTACGTTAATTTTCTGTTTTTGAAATCATGTACCTGGATTCAGTAATCTATCTTTAGGGCTAAAGTTTCTTCTACTGCAAAGAATCTATGAATTTATTATTGTTATTTGGGCCATCACAGACTATGAAGGAGTCTCACTGAAACTAAGAGAAATATCAAAAGTCTTAAAGTCAATGAGAAAGAAAAATTAGGGATTTGTGACATCTTAGATTGCTAAACCAAGTACCAGAAGACAATATATTGGGAATACAAGAAGAATATTGATATCCAATAAATTTGCTCCCTTGGATTTAATTTCAGTTTGATATTTTCAGTCTTAACTGGACTCTCATTTATTCTATAATATTTATTAATGACATCACCCTAATATTATATAGATTCTGTTAATATAAAAGGATACTGAGGTTGGAAGCCTTCTTTTCAAACTACTATTATTATATAAAAGAGTATCTAGAAATAGCTATGAGCAAATGAACACAGATTGAGAAGACAAAGATTACTAGTCTGTTTAGAAGCATAGAGCTCCATATTTAGGATAAAAACTTCAAGATCTGAAACAGTTGAGTGTTAGTGTTATATGTAGCAGAATTGGTTCTCTTACAACATAGGTGTGTTTTTTCACTGTATTATACTTGCTCATATACATACTTTTTTTTGTTTGTTTGTTTGGTATAGGGATTGAACTCACAACTGCAGGCTTGCAAGGCAGGCACATATAATACTGAGCTAAATCCCAGGCCCTTCTCTGTCCTTTTGAAAACAATTTCAGCAAATACAAATACAAATACAAATACAAATACAAATACATAGTTAACCCATAATGTCTGCACCTGTGATAATTCACTGTCATTTACCACTAAAGGAATGAGAAAGAACATTTCAAAGGAATTAAAAGCAAATGGAGTGATTACTACTGTCTTAATTTGGAGTACTTTGAGAATCAAAAAGAAAATGACTGTGATGTATTAAAACATAAAATCTGTCAGGGAGTTAGCTCAGTGGCCTAAGTGCCTGCCTTGCAAGCTCAAGGTTGTGAGGTTGATCCCCTGATGCCGAACAAACCAATAAGCAAACAAAACCCATAAAATTTATAAAAGGCATGAGTTCATGATGATATAGAAAACAAAAATAAAAAACCCTTGACTACTTCATCCTACTAAAATGTAACAAGAGTGCAGATTTACTCTCATTTTTGAGACAAATCCCAAGTAGACAAAATGCATGAAGCAGTGATTTTCAGTATACCAGATATTAAACAACAAAATAAGTGGTTTGTGAAATAGAGGAAATAAACAAGAGGAATCTTATGATTCTCTCAGTTTACTCATTGGAAGAATACTCAGATTAAAGTACAGTGAGGGGTAACCCAGATAAAACTCAGAAAACTTTCTGAAGTGACAAGATGGAAAATCAAGACCAGGAACATCAAGGCAGAGAGTTTGCGGAGAACTAAGCACTGGAGTGGGAGGACTGCAGAAAAGCTCAACTGTCTTTGGGGTCCTTCTGATCCCATGCATCCAGAACCAGAACTAGGGAACCTATGAGTGCAGAAGAAATCAAGAGAAATTCGAAGATCTTTTGAAGTGAATGAAAATGGAAATACCATTTAGTACATTTCATGTGATGTTGCTGTTACTTCTTAGGTATAATTAATAGAATTAAATAACTATAC